GATTCGGAACTGGAACTGGAGCTGGAGCTGTCGGACGAACTGGATTCAGAGCTCGAGCTCGAGTCAGAATTGGAAGATGCCGAATCTGATTCCGATCCCGAGTCCGTCTTTGCCTTCTTGGCATTCGCCTTTGCGCTTTCCAGCTTCTTCTCCAACAAAGCCTTTGCGACGCTCTTCTTCTTCGCCACAGCCGGCTGTGTTGCAGCCTCTGCTGGTCCAGCTTTCTCATCGTTCCTCTGAGAAGCTTTGACCACCTTGACAGGTGTGGCTGCTGTTGCTCCTGCCGCTGCCGCTGCAGAAATCACTCCTGGCTCTTGCTTGATCTTGACTAGTGCAGCGTTTGCTTGTGCCTCCTTCTCTTCCGCATCCGTATCGGAGTCGGATTCAGAATCAGAATCAGAATTAGAATCAGAATCCGAGTCTGATTCTGAACTCGAACTCGAGCTGGAGCTCGATTCTGATTCAGTATCCGAACTGCTGCTGCTATCGCTGTCGCTACCACTTTCGCTTGTCTGCTTGCTTTCTAGAGCCCGCTTCTTTTCAGCGTCCGCTTTCGCTGGCGAAGAGGTTCCCGGATCTGAGGCATCATCGCTGGCAATTGTGGGGCTTGTAGCAGTCGTCACAATTGGCTGAGCTGCTTTGCGACCTGCTGAGCTTGGTGTTGCTTGTGAGGAGTCTTCGGATGAGGAAGAGGAAGAGGAGGAGGAGGAGGAGGAGGAGGCGGAGCTCGAGCTTGAGCTCGAATCGGAGCTCGAAGATGAGGATGAGCTGCTGCTGCTGCTGGATGAATCGCTCTCGTCACTGCTATCACCATCACTATCTCCGTCCTCGTCGTCCGACTTTGCGACTTTGCGCGTGCCTTGCTCCACCTTCGACGCAACGATCGGCTCTTGAGGCACAGCACCCACTTCCGCGTCCATCTCCACCTCTCCTAGTCCACTCAAAGCTTCCTGAGCCCTATCTGCCGATTTTCTAGCCCTCTTCGTCGGTCTACCATCCAAGCCATTTGTAGATCCGGACCCTGACTTGGACTCTGTCGCGAGAGCAGCAGCAGAGCCTGGAAAATGCACCGACAGAAAGCTGTGCACGTAGGAAAGTGCGGTTTTGACTGTGCGATGAGAGTTTGAGGCAAAGGTAAGCGGAGCGAGCGAGGGTAAAGGGACGCGCAAGATACGCAAAGAAGGGGAGGCGATCGAGATGCTAAGCAATTACCCACTCACATCCGTTCGAAGAGCTCTCGGTGGGAGACGGTGATGGTGGGACGACGACGCCTGACTCTGCTTGGTCAGACACTGCTTTACGCTTACCCTTGCCCGTGCCCATGCCCGTGCCCGGCG